AGGCGGTTCCCGCCTCACCGTCTGCCTTCTGCCGTTGCAGCTCTCGTGGCGCTGTCCTTCAGCGGAGCCATCGGGCTGACGTTCCTCATGCTGGGCTGCGCCCTGGAATACTACGGGTGAGCGGGCCGGCTTCGTTCCCAAAACTTCCCCTGCTTTCTGGCTGTTAATTGAGGTGTTAATCTCATCTAATTGAGCTGTTTGGCTCTGTCTTCCAGCAGTCACCTGTTTTCTGGCTCTTGACGTATGGCAGTTTGTTGTGATTAAATACCACCTCCTTAGCCAGTATTTGCATTTCCATTAAAAAAAAAAAAGTGCAACCAGCTCTGTACTTCCTCAGGAAAAGCGGTGCCATCTTGCTAAGCAGTCATTTTTATCCTCGCACAATTTTTTCCCTTACTTCCTGTTTCTTTAAAACAACCCTCCTACCACAGGACTCCAACTGAGATGGCTATTACACTTCAAAATCCAGGTGAAGCTAATGAGAGCACTCACAAAGAGATGAGCATGCAAGGGTGTGCCTTCACAATCAACTTGTTTATACTCCAGGATCCCTCTAATTTGGGAAAGCTTTTGGTTCCCGTCCTGCTTGCATGCATTTCCTGTTCCCTGTGCGGTGACTGTTGTTTTTGTGAGACGGTGGTGTGAGTTAAATCAGCAAGGTGATGCAAATCTAAATAAATTAAGGCTTAGTCTTGTGAAAGAGTGGATCCTGCTATACATGAGGCTGTATGAGTGCTTGTGCCAGTATGCAGGGAAAATGAGGTAGGACTGCCCCTTCGGGTGAAAGCTTGTGGTTAAATCATGTAACCCACTTTTCAAACCCTAAAGTAGGATTACAGCTATTGCAATTATTTTTTCTAAACAGAAGATACTTTTTTATTGAACCATCCATCTAAACTGATTGTGTTTTTCCTTTTTTCCCCCTCCGCAGTGTATACTGGCCTCTGTTTGTCTTAATATTTTACTTCATCTGCCCCATTCCCCACTTCATTGCAAAAAGAGTAAGCGATGACAGTGATGCAGCCAGCAGTGCCTGCAGGGAATTGGCATATTTCTTCACAACTGGAATTGTTGTTTCTGCCTTTGGATTTCCTATAATCCTTGCACGGGTGGAAGCGGTAAGTTCTGCTTGCTAATTTTTATTGTAAGACATGAGTTACTGAGTATAATCTTTTAAGTGCACTGTTGCCGCTTGCGAATCCTGTCTTTAATTTCATTATTATGATGTTTCTAGATTCTGATGAAAATAACCACTCTGCTGAAATTTTGTCTGTCAGTGCTGCTTTTTGACCTGAACAAAGGACTTGCATGACTGAAAAGTTTTTAGCTGTTTTTTTTCCCAGATTTGTTTTGGTCCAATACAAGATACTATCTTCTCCTACATCTCATGCCTCTCTGTCTCATTAACTTTTGTGCTGCTTCTTGCACCACCTGCCCTATTTTTATCTCAGATTGTCTGCTTTCTCCATTTAGGATGCTGAAAACTTGGTGACTGGAGTGTATTATCAGTTAAAAGATAAAAGGCCAAACTTCCAGAGCTGTCCTTCTGGTTTTCAGAGCATTTCCCAAGCTCATGCTTTGTCCCCTCAAAATCTGAGGAAATTCTGCTAGCTTCTTTTTTCTTTGCTTTCTGAACTGCCCTTCAGCGGTGAGATTTTGTCACATTTGTTTTGCAAGGCAAAGAACTCTTTTGTCCCATCTCTCAAACAACCCAATGCCGTTTGTATGTGTTGTGTTGTTTTTCCCCTTCGGTCTTTTAGTTTTGCTTAAAACTTGTGTGCTTAGTTTTAATTTATTTGTAATGCACAATTTCCCTGACGCTGCATTTTTGTTTTTAAGTTTTGGACCTGACAGTAGGCAGAACCAAAAGTGACCACGAGGGGGAACTCTAACTCATAGCTATATCTTTTAAGAGTAAATGTCGCTTATTTGGGTAAACTTAGTCGGGCGGATCGTTAAAGCAAGCTATTTACCTTTAAGACCACGTACTGTTTTCCATGCTTGTTACTGGCTTTTATTTGAAAGGCGATCTTTTGTTTTGTTGCGTAGCAATTAAAGGAGAGCATTAGTTTCACCAGATTTTTCTATGACTTGGGTATGTTTTAGTGATTAGTATAGCAAGGTAATTATTTTGTTCTAAAACATAGCATTATTAGCCTGTCTGTTTAAGTGTTGTATTAGTAATGTGAATGGTTGCTAATTGAATAATTAGTCACATAAATTGAATTATTGATTGTTTGTCTTTTTTCTTTGTGCTTTTAGCACCTTTCTGTAGTATTTCATTTAGTTTATCTAATGCATATAAATAACTGGCCTGAACCTATCTTATAAGAACTGCTTTGATTGTTTCATTTCCTTGCATTTCAGATCAAATGGGGAGCCTGTGGTCTGGTGCTGGCTGGCAATGCAGTCATTTTCCTTACTATTTTAGGCTTTTTTCTTGTGTTTGGTAGAGGAGATGACTTTAGCTGGGAACAGTGGTAGGACATTGCTCTGATGCTGGTAATATTTTACAGCATGTATCACCATATGTATACTCTGTGTGTGTATATGTGTATATATTATAACATATGTGTGTGCACACTGAGATGTATGTATGTGCATATGCATGTACTTTTACATTATTGGATCATAACATGCTTTTTTAAAATGCATTTCAGCCAAAGGGAGAAGGCCCTTGTGACAGCTGTCTTAATGTATTCAGTAAAAGCTGGAATCACTGTTGCAAATTTGTCCCCAAATAAGTTTACAAAACTGGCCTGGTTTTGGCTCTTTAACTAATTTTTTCCCTATATATGCATTAACTTTTGTTTTAATCACAGTAGTATCGCTGATACATGTGATATTGGTCAGCATGCACGTACGTTTTTTTTAACCATGTAATCAAAATAGGTCAATATAAAGATTATCCTACTTGGTATTGTTCAACTTCATCGATATTTCTCCTTTGATTTGGGATGAACGAGTACTTGCTTTTCATTTAAGTAACTGTAATTTTAGTGTTTTTTCTTGATAACATAAAAACAACTGTCTAATGAAAGAAAAAGAAAATAACACCAGTTAACAATCCTTCCTTCCACTTATGGTGTTCATTTAAAAAATAATTCCCCCACCCCAAGATACTCAGGCTTTGTCCCCATTCAACTTAACAACTGTGGATGTATTTTGGGAATAATATACTTTAATGCCTCTTTAATGCTTAGAGCTGACATTACTTCTCTTATGAAGGTTCACAAAACAAGAAACTATGCTCAGGACACTTACAATCACAATGTAGTATACAACTCTGTATTCTTATGTGTGAAATGCCTGAATTGTAAAGAAGTGAGTGTTCTGCTGGGTAGGATTTGTTATCTCCTCAGTTCTCATTGCTCTTATAACATACTTATTCAACAACTATTTTCTTGTCTGTAAGAAGAGATTGTTATATTAAAACACTATATTTTTAAATGGCATTATCCTAGTAAACATTTACATAATCGCACTTATAAAAGTAAACTTTATTACTGTTTTGACTTGCCGAATCCTGCAAATTGTGGAGGCATGTAGTTTTGTAAAAATGCATTCTTATACAACCCTAACTCTAGAAGACATTTCAGTAATCTGCAAAGGGGTAAAGGAAGAGACGTCTTAGTTTATTCTTTCGTAGAAAAATGGACATAGAGATTTCTGCTCTGTGAAGTAAGAAGCTGAATTCCTGCATAGGGTATGTTGTACTATTGCAAGTTCTTTAGACTAGCAGATTGGAAATGAGTATTTTTTTATTGTTGTGTGAGTTAGTTCACAGCTGTCAGCTATCACCCTGTATAGCTCTGAGGGACGTTGTATAAGGAGGTAATAGAATCTACCCTACAAGATGTGGCACCTTCACCAACACAGTGCGTTTTGCCCCCTAAGTTGTATGGAACTACTAATGCTGCTCTCCAAACTCTCTCAATACTCATGTACTGCAAAATGGTGTCCTGTGCATTGCTGTGCAGAGCAAAAGTCCACAAATTAATGAATGTTACATGAGTGCTCTGATACTGGGTCTTTTGTTCTTGCTCAATGCCCTAGAAGAAGGGTAGAGAAATCATTCTGTGGTCCAAGTAATGTAATATCCCTTAAGTAGGAATGGAATATCATGTCTCAGGAAGGTTAATCACATGTTTTAAACTTCAGATGTGTGTAAGGTGAACAGTTCAGTGCTGAGGAATGCTGAGTAGCTGTATTTTATACTGAAGTGTGTCTAGGCTGTCATTCTTGCAAAAGAAGAATTAACATTAAATGACAGATTTTTTCTGGATGCTCATGCTTCATCAAAGACATAGCAGGAGTATACTTGTAAAGATGCTGTGCATAAACAATTTCTCTTACAGTGCCATCTTCCTGACTTAGTGAAATCTGTTGGACCCTACTGATTTGTAAAGTACTACTGGGGAAATTATTTGTTCTAATTATGAGGCAGGTTGTTTAGTCCATGTGTAAGTCCTGCTTTGATTTTTGAAGAAGTTGCTTTTTTTCCTATACCATGGCGCTTTTCATTCAAATTGGTGAAGTAAAACAGCAAAAATAATACACAATTTCAGTGCCTGATGCTGTAAACAATTTTATTTTAACTCTTGTTAAAGTACTCGTATACTTGCAGGATTAGGTTCTTGAGTAGTGTTACTCCTTAGAATTTATATACTGAAGGCTGCAATAGAAGTCTACAAAACTACTCAATTACTGATGAAATTTTACTTTCAAGACAGTGGCATGAAAAACAGCTGGGATTAATTTTTCTTTAAATTAGAGAATCATTACTTGTAGAATCTGTTCTAGATCTGTTGGTAAATAGTGTGCTTGTGGCAGATTGGGATATGGGCAGTAAACATATGACAATCTAAAATGAAAAGGAGGACTAGAAAGTACAGTCTTGAAGAGAGGTTGTTTCTTTGACAAATTATTTTGTTGTACTGTATATTACTTGATATTACTGTGGTTGGTGGGTACCTTGTGAAATGGCAGGTAAATGTTGAACGGAGAAAGTCAATGCTTTTTTTTTTTTTCTCCTTTTGAAGCAACTACATGCACTAATCCTTAATGTGAATGTCATGCAGTTTTCACCATGGACTTTTATTTTAAAATGTTTAACTTCAAAAATTGTGTTGAACAGTTTTTAAATTGTGGAAATCTTCCTTGACCTCTTTAAAAGTAAATTTGCTTGAATGAGTCTTCGATATCAAGTAGGGTAAAAAAAGTTTTCAGTGCTTTTCTTATCAAGAGCTTCACTCATTCACACAAACCTGGTGCTTTGATGGCCAGTACTGGGCATACTGTCACTATCTACCAGTAGCAATTCACTGTGGTTTCTCTGAAATTGTTTTCCTATATGGAAGTGAATACTATGTATCCAAAGTGCCTTAATTTCAATACTGTGCTGATTTTTGTGAATGCATATACATGGCAATATCGCTATGTTTCATAATCAGGAGAAGATCTGTTACTGCATTTTATAAAGCTTCCTTGTCAACTAATCATGTTTTCTGTAATTTGGAATGCAGTGCAGCTTTTGTAACTTTTGTAAACACTATTTTTATTTTCTGTGATTGCCAGGTTCTTGAGAGGATGAAGTATTAAAACATGGAAATTAAAACATATTCTACTTTTCTTTTTGAATTGTCTAATAAAACTGACTTTTTGAATTGTCTAATAAACATATCTGATGCTTAAGTATTTGTCTGTCTTAAATTTCAAGAGGTGACAACAGACTCTTGTGTGAGAGGAAAGACAAGAGAACATATCCAGTGGTGCTTTCATAATGGTATTGTAGCTGTCAGGCACGGCCTCAGTAGGAGGTTAATGAGCAGTTCAAGTGTCTCTTGTACTGCTATTGATATTTCTTAATTGCTTTGTAGTGAAATGGGGTCTTCAAGTGGATTCTTAGTATTGGGACCCTTGGGGACTATTTTGCAAGGTGTTCTTTGTACGAGAGCTCCTTCGCATCTTTTTCTGGAGATACGTAGTAAGTGCTTGCGGCTTTTGGGTCTGCAGAGGCTTTGATATTCGGCTTCTTGGTCAACAGGAAGGTCAGTCAGCACTGATGAGAATGAAACACGGCGAACAAATTTCAGAAGCCATAATCCTTAGATCCTTACTGCAATAGGTGGAATTAGTGTTATGTCATGCGTTATTGTAGAGGTCATATTCAAATATGCAGACAAATTACTATCACTTGTCTCTTATGTACATGTTAAATCTGTGAGCTTTTTAAAGGCATTCAAAAAAACCCAGTATTTAAGATAATACTTGACCTCTTCCACTTTCCTTGCTTTAAAAGAGTCTAGAGTAAGACACATCTGCTCTGTCAGCACTGATGGAACCAGGGATGCAGAAGGCATCAAAGCTCTTTTTCTTTTCTAGCTCAGTACTCCTGTAGTTAAGTTGGTGAATATATTAAGTCGGTGATTTTGATCCCACGAGTGCTTGTGAAAATGAAGCTTGCTCAGTTATTTTAATCAATTTGTGAGAGCACCCACCATCAGGTGGGAAGAAGGCTATAGCGTCTGTGTGATGAATAGCTGATGCTTTCTGTTTACAGCAATGATTTTAGCAACTAAGCTTTGGAGAAGGTAAGTATATTTGCACTTTGAATCAGTTAGCTGCTGGCTTTGCCCTGTTTTGCAAAATGAATGTTTGGGATTGCTGTTCTGCACTGCCTAGCCCAACTCATGCTTTGCATATAGAGTAACTTCAGGCTCTAGGCTTGGTTCCTGAGCTCCCTAATTTAACCTGGTTCTGGATTTGCTATATTATCTGTATGTTATAACTTCTATTTCCTATCCCTCCCACCCTTGTTCTTGTAGCTGCTTGTTTTTGTAGTTAACAGAGCTGTTCCCTGTCAACTTATACTTAGCTGGAGGAAAAAAATAAAAACTTCATAAGGGGTCAGGAGCAGGGGGTGCTGGTTAGTCTTGCACTGGTTTTGTAGTCTGTTCAGTCCTTTAAGAAAGCTGGTAACCTTCCTAACTAGTTATGACCTTGGGTAACTTTCTAAAAACTTTAAACAGACTTTAATCCCATAAAATTAATGTAAGCTCATTAATAGCTGGGAGTTAACCAAACAAACTTGTCCTAGTAAGCCACATGTAAATTGTTATTGTTAAACTGAAAATTATGTAAAGCTCTAAGATGATCTCTATAACCCTGATCGCAATTGTTAACACAGCATGACTTTTAAGAATCTGCATCATTTACTCTGCAGGGATTGTTTCTGATCTGTACTAATGGATGAAAAGACTATTTCATTAAGCTGGATGCACACTAGGTACTAATGACTAATTGATTTGTTTAAGTGGCCCCTGCAAATACATGATCAGTATATACTAGGGGGCTTTATGGGGAAGTGTCTCCTGATAAAACATGTGAAGAAGCATTGACTGGTGAATTGTGACGAAATTTTAAAGATCAGCTGGACACTCTTAGAGAAACATTTTCTCCGATGGCCTGTTCCAATATTTATCTCATTTTATTGTTTTGCTTTTGTTCTTTATGTTGAGGCTTATTTCAGCTGTGTCTCTGGATTATTTTCAAAAATTGGTTACAGTTGTTTATGCCCTGTGACTAGCACTTCAGCTGGAGGTGCTTATTTTTTTGGAATTACTACTTCCCATAGACTAGTTCTAGATTCTAACAAATATTCTGGATAGTGCTTCTTTCTAATGGCTTGTTTGAAATGGACTGGTTGATTGTTCCCTGATTCCTCTCCGTGAGGGTTGTCATCCCTTGTCTGC